TGCCATGCCATGGTGTTTGATATAGTTTGCGTTCAATTTTAACTATTTAGGCAGAAAAACGTATATTGACGAAACCTTTTTTAATAGTTTACTATAATTTAGAAAGGTTTTTGTGAGAAATCATTTCAAAAGTAAACTTATTTTTCATTTTATATTTAAATTTGAAATGTTTGCACACAACATTATTAATTTATACATTTGCATCAATTTTTTAAAATTATGAATCAATTTATTTTATTGTATTTCCTTGAGGCTGGGGAAGATATCATGCAGTTCAACATGCAAATGTTCTGCAAGTAAGTATAAGTATAACATGGAAAAGGAAATAAAATACGTTTCATAGTGGATGTGGATTTATTTTCTCTCACCTTGTAATTACACAATCAAACAATCTATAATTTAGCTCTGGCCTTCACTCACAAAAAAACATTTTGTTGAATTGGACACATTTTTCAAATCTCTATTGACTGACATGCAATGACTAGGACTGATGGAACAATCTGAGAGGATTGAACTAGGAGCAGAGAAATAATCATATTTTAAAAGACAGCAGCTTCATAAGAGGCCAACAAGAGTGACAGAGTGTGTCAGTGTGCTGAAGGATAGGGACCAGCTATCTTGGCCAGACTCTATAGATTTTCCATGGTGTAAAATGCTGCTGCCGGAGTACTGACTGGAAGTATTGCTGATATCAAGTCTACCATCCATCCATCCATCTTCTCCCGCTTATCCGTGGTCGGGTCGCGGGGGTAGCAGTTCCAGCAGGGAGCCCCAAACTTTCCTTTCCCTGGCCACATCAACCAGCTCTGACTGGGGGATCCCAAGGCGCTCCCAGGCCAGCGAAGAGATATAATCCCTCCACCTGGTCCTAGGTCTACCCCTTGGTCTCTTCCCAGCTGGACGTGCCTGGAACACCTCCCTAGGGATGCGCCCAGGTGGCATCCTAACTAGGTGCCCGAACCACCTCAACTGGCTCCTTTCGACGCGAAGGAGGAGCGGTTCAACTCCGAGTCCCTCCCGAATGACCGAACTTCTCACCTTATCCCTAAGGGAGACACCAGCCACCCTGCGGAGAAAACCCATCTCGACCGCTGGTATCCGCGATCTCGTTCTTTCGGTCATGACCCATCCTTCATGACCATAGGTGAGGGTAGGAACGAAAATGGCCCGGTAGACAGAGAGCTTTGCCTTCTGGCTCAGCTCCCTTTTCGTCACAACGGTGCGGTAAAGCGACTGCAGTACCGCTCCCGCTGCTCCGATTCTCCGGCCCATCTCACGCTCCATTGTTCCCTAACTCGAGAACAAGACCCCGAGATACTTGAACTCCTTCACTTGGGGTAAGGACTCATTCCCTACTTGGAGTGGACAGTCCATCGGTTTCCTGCTGAGAACCATGGCCTCAGATTTGGAGGGGCTGATCCTCATCCCATCCGCTTCACACTCGGTTGCGAACCGATTCAGTGAGTGCTGAAGGATGCAGACCGATGATGCCATTAGAACCACATCATCTGCAAAAAGCAGTGGTGCAATCCTTAGTCCACCGAACTGCAGACCCCCTCCCCCATGACTACGCCTCGAAATCCGATCCATGTATATTACAAACAGGATTGGTGACAAAGCGCAGCCCTGGCGGAGGCCAACCCTCACCGGAAATGGGTCCGACTTACTGCCGAGGACCCGGACACAGCTCTCGCTTTGGGAGTACAGAGATTGGATGGCAAAAAAAAAAAAAAAAAAGCAAAAAGGCCTCTCAGACGCTCTTCCGTTTACGTGTTTAATAAAGAAAAACAATTGGACGGTAGATACACGGATTTAAATCTTATCTATGTTTGCTTAGTTTGTATTGGGTGTAGGGAAAGAAATGTGTCTTTTGTCAACTGTCACATTAGCATTTGTTGACTATATAAACTGAAATAAGCATGATATTCCATGGGAAATGTATTGTTTTAGTTATAACTAGTTTTAAGCCATAATTAGACCAAACAATATGAATTTGCGATTGAAAACAGTTGGTTATAAAACATGGTAGGCTTGTTATTCTGAATTTGATTAAGCTGAGTCAAATGTGAATTCTAAAATATAGTAACATCGCAGAGATAAGATGGTTACTGAGGTTGGGAATGAACAGATATTCCAGTAAATCTCTGTAGCAAGATGTCAATGTCATGGGTGTAAAATGTTTGATTGTGAACTCATCATGACCTAACTATCTTGTTTCTGGCTTCCTGTTTAACTTACGTTGTGTTTCCTGTTGCAGCGATGGGAACTGAAGGCTCCTTAAGGACACTGCTGCTCTCGCTGGCTCTCTGCCTCATGGCTGTAGGTGGACTGCAATAATGAAGGGACTCAACAATGCTTTACTCTGTGTGTAACTTTGGTCATTTATGCAACCAAACAAAAAAATATCCAGGGACAAAATCACTGTTGTGTTTGAAGTTATGTATGTAAATATCAAGCAATGATCAGACCAACCTAAATATTTGAAGGGCTGTAAAATCCTGTATAAAGTTAAGGATTATTTTATTTCTTAGAATTAAGATATATAAGCATTTTATATTTGTGGATTGTTTTTATGTTGCAGTTTGATGGCGTGTTGCACTGTGTTCGATGTTAACTTTTTAAAGCATAGCTGTACCAAAAGTGTGATCCATTTATGAATGTGCAATAAACACCTTGTTTTAACTGTGGTGTGACATGTGTCCTTTTTTATTTTAAGTGCTAGGCTCAACAACAACCACAAGGTGGGGTTAATAATTTAAAAGTTGCCAAGAGAAGAGATCAATGACAACTCCTTTTCTTTTTCTGTGGCTTACAGGAAAATACAAAACTTGGTTCAAATATTTTTAAATGTTTTTCCAACCCTTTATTTTAACCCTCCACATGTTGGCAGAATATATATAATGTATTCAGAATATGAAAAATCAGTATTATACAGTGATGTACTGTCGTAGTTTAATAACATTTCACTAAATCTTGTCATTCATATCTGTTGCCTCATATAATGCATCTGATTATATCATTAACAGTTTTTGATTGGGTGCAGGAAATGAACACAGCACTAGTGATTAACTATGTGATCTGTGTGTTACTGTTTTGTAATGAATTTGTCACTAACTGACAAATCCGGGTGAACACATTGTAGCAACAGTTGGAGATCATTGATCAGTTAATGGCTGATACTCAACCATTGCGATTGTTTCATCTATGTTGTCAAATGCTCATTAACATCGTTTCACAGGAGGTCAGATTAAAAGTGAATTTGAATCACAGACCTTTAGAGATTGATCACTGTAACAGCACAATTTACGTTATCAGTGTTTCTTCAGATTGGGTCTCTGTTGCTCACTCAGTGAATTATTTGCATATTGATTACAGTTTAAGAGCACTGCAAGTGGGCCACCTGGAAAACAGGTTTTGACTGATGATACGATCCCCACTTAAACATGATTTATCTACTTTCTTCCAGACCTAAAAACAGGTAAAAGTGGTTAAAATTGTCTAAGAGAGGGCACAAATGAAAAATAGACATTTAAAAACTGAAGGTCATTATAACATAAAAGCTCATGTGAATTATTTCGATTTAAAAGGACATTCAACAGGCATTTTGTTAATCATGCAAATCTGGGTTAATGTCAATGCAGCAAAAATGATTTAATCTGAAAGATTTTGAGAAATGATTGCAAAACGTATATTTTATAATGAATTAATTAATGTCAGGTCACGTTTAACTGTAGTAGCTTGGTCTTTAGCATATAAGAACAAAAAGTGTTTTCCTTGCCCAATATTACTTCCTCTAATTTTGTCTTTTCTCAAAGATATGTCTTTTTGTTATAAAGCAACAAAGATACCAGAAGATATTCGTCTTTTAAGAGGCAGGAATTCTGAGAATTCTGCCTTTTTAAAGTTTTTTTCTAATCAAATCGATTTTGCTCTGTGGTAAACAAACGAAGTTCTTCCTCAAATTCCTCATTGTTGTTGTTTTTATGCAACAGACTTCAACCTCAGCAGATCATTTCCTGGTTAAAACCACACACAACACAGTAACCAAACACCAGTAAACATCTTACACAACGACTAAAACTGCTCCTGTCTCCTCTCCATCAATAGCAGCCATTGATCCGGACAACTGTTGATAGCTAGCATTGACGCATCCTCCCCTATCTGCAAAATCCATTATGTTTTTCAACCGGACTTTGTTTGTCTTGTTGTGTTTTCGGACCTCCAATTGCACAATGACTTTGATAATACGTTTTTTTTTTTTTTAAGCCTGTCATTCATATTAATAACATTTTTTGATGAACTATTAGGAAAAACTATAAAGGGCACATCAACTGACCTCCATTCAAGATCTTATTGTTACAGTAACATCAAGGCTTACAATGCTGTTGAGTGCTGGTTGGCTGAGGTGCAGACATCAGACAGCCAACGGCCAATAGGGGGCGCCATGTGAGGATTGCCTGGGTATATAAAAGTTGCTTTTCAAAGATAACCAGAGCAACAGGCGGTTTGGAGTTGGAGGGTGCTGCCTGGAGAGGTAAGGAAGTTTGTGATTTGCTTAGACATGTTACCTGTGATTCACTTAAGTATTGCATTGTAGAAAACTGTTATTTAATTTAATAAGACACCAATATTCTGAAACAAGCTATCCATTATTATATTGTGTACTCTTGCTGATCTATATTCTTTTAAATCAGCAGACAACTTTTTTTATTTCTTAATGGTGAAGCAGATTGTGTGTGTATGTACATGTACAGTATTGTGAGAGAGAGAGAGAGAGAGAGAGAGAGAGAGAGAGAGAGAGAGAGAGAGAGGAGAGGAGAGAGAGAGTGAGAGAGAGAGAGAGAGAGAGAGAAGAGAGGAGAGAGCTCCGAGAGAGAGAGAGAAGAGATATGCGATAGCGAGAGAGAGATAGTATCGCTCTCTGATTCGATAGAGAGAGGGAGAGGGGTTGGAAGTTTGAGCTGATTTGTTTATTGTTTGTCTGGCTGCTCCTTTATGTTTTGGATGCACCACAGTAATTGCAGAGGAGAGTTTCGGTTGGATGGGCCTGAGAGGACATGTTATGGGTTTTTGTCGAGTGAAGGGGCCATGGGGTGAGGGCTCAGGGAGCGAGACCCATTTTTCTTTTCAAGTCCAGTTTGGACCAGTTTGTATTTTTTCCCAGCTAACAAGTGAATCTCTGTAATGCAACAGTGGATGCTTCTTAAGTTTTGAGTGCCTAATGTGATGTAAGCTCTTTGTTCATGCAGCAGAGTGATGTAATGATCGTTGTACTAACAGAGGAGTTAATCATTCACCAGCCATTGTTACTATTAGTTCATTTTGTTACAGTTACATTTGCTCTCCCCTGTGTCTGATGACATATTAATCATAAAGTTAAGAAACAGATATCACAGGTTCATTTTCTCTTCATTTCAGATGTGTGCAACCAGTATCATATCATGTTAGCTTTAGAGGCTTTTATCATTTGAGCTTATAAAAACGTTCCTGTCGTTAAGTTACAAGCAACAGTAAAACCTCCCCCTTCTTCTCTTCCCCTCACAGATAAGTGATCAGTGATTGTTCATCCTGAGCGTCAGACCGGGCTGTTCCTTCCTCTGTGGTGGTGGACTCTCGCAACTCCACATTGCTCTCCTCTGGTTCCTCTTTTCTCTCGGCCTGTGTTCTCTCTCAACCGCCACCATGAATCTGTCCCTGGCCACGGCGTTCGCCAGGCGCTGGTGGATGGCAGTGACGGCCATCATTGAGAATCTGCTCTTCTCTGCCGTGCTGTTGGGATGGGGATCACTCCTCATCATGCTGAAGTCAGAGGGTTTCTACTCTTACCTTTGCAACGAGGAAGGTGAGTCACAGGTTGCTTGCATTCCTCTCTCTTCACAAGTATGTCACATTTCTTATCTGTCATTTGTTCCATCATGTGCCTTGATAGTAAAAGAAACCCTCATTTGTAAAGGCAAACAGTCTTGAGCATCTGCCTACATGAGTTTAAAGTGCAGAGCTTGCATGTGTCCTGTCTTTCTTTATGGAAGACAATGAGCTGTTAAATGTGGATTGAGGGCTGCCCTTACAGTCATTCAGTGTCATCACCAGTACTAAGAGCAAAAGAGTGAGCAAGGTTTTATTCACGATAGGTAACTTAATAGGCTGCTTTTTGGCTTCTTCTGTTCTCTTTAAAGAATAAGTGTTTATCTGAAAGGGGCCCAGGCTGCTTTTTGAGGCCTCAGGAGACTAAACCTGATCAGTTAAATTAAAAAGAGAGCAGGGATGCAGGTTGGAAAAGTGTCCCAAAGTGAAAGAGAAAATTGAAGACACAGCAGATGAGAGGAATCTGATAAACGAATGACGGACGGCATCGGCTGTCCTTTTGCCCTCATGCCTTCGTCTTCTCTTTTTCTTCTTATTCCTCTCTTTGAGCAAAGTCATGCAGCTGCTATGTGTTTTGAAGTACAAAGGCCACACAATGCACACAATGGCCCCAGTCAGGTCTTGTAGAAGAGAGTAAGCAAAAAAGGGAACGTGAGAGAGGAATTAGGCCACACTTATCCTTTGGACCTGGATTTGTCCAGTGGGAGAATGTTTGTATAACTTGTCTGGCATTGTCTTCCAATTCAACTTAATCTGCAAGTGATGCAACTTGCTCTTGCTTGAACTTGAGACCCAATCAGCGTCGCTCAAAATTCATCCATAAACCTTCAATAACTCACAGCTAATTCGAGTCACGTTTACAGGCTATTCAAATATAGTGTAGTGAGTGATAATTGAGCTTCCTGGCTCGTGCCACAGACGTCTTATCTTGTTCTGATGACATAACAGGGAGAGGACCGCAGCACCAGCTCAGCGCTTTTCAAGCATGTGACATGTGATAGAGGAACAGATTTTATGACCGGTAATATGGAAGCCTAAAGTTCACTGATAAAGAGCAGGGAGGGAAGTGAAGACTGATAGAAAAGTGATGAATAGTAGAAAATGTGACCGCTGGGGGGGTTGGCAGTAAGAAATATGATTGACAAAGAAAGAAAATGATGATGAAGCATACATGAGGCATTGCGCACATCCAGCAGAGAACAATGAGTTATGGTTAAAAGTTGACGTATGTTAAGTCAACAAAAAGAGGAAATAAAGTCAATTTGCAAGTCAGCAAGCATCAGCAAGTCTTAGTTTCTGAAATAGACCTGACACTCAGTTAGGAAGCACATCAGGGTGTTTCACACGGGGATGTCGTGCATATACATCCCTCATGTGACAACAAAGATGTCTGCTGGCTGAAAGGTTCAAGGGATTATAATCCAGGCAGAATTGCTGCTTCCCTTTCTACCTCACATGGACTTCTCCTGGACTGTTGTACCTTTATCTCCTGGCAGGTTCTGACGATAATGTGTTTATTGCCACTGCTAGCGTATCACCTTTTGTCCCTTGCATTCCAACGTACTAATTAGTCTAAATAGCAGGATTATTTAACTTCTCTCAAACGTTATGGGTGGCTTTTGTGAGAATAAGTGAGTAGGTGTAAATACAACAATTTTCCACTTCAATACCCACCCTGCTCTTTTTTTCTCCAACGTGTATTTTACCATTCGTTCTCTACCTATTTTCATTCTGTTCACAGGCAACAGTTCCATCTCCAATCTGTCCCTTCCCCTTGCCACTTCGGCACCCGATGACTATGCTGAATACTTTGAGACTGAGGCTGGTGTGGTTGGTCTGGGAGACGGGGTGGAGATGAGGCCCCTGGTGCCTATGGATGGGCCCCTGAAAATGAACGGCTGGCTGATTTGTAAAGAACAGGATGAGATGCTGAACCTGGCGTTCACAGTGGGCTCCTTCCTGCTCTCGGCCATCACCCTGCCCCTGGGGATCGTCATGGATAAATACGGGCCTCGCAATCTCAGACTGCTGGGCAGGTAAGAAAGGAGAGCGGAAACTATGCAAACTAACCACGATGTTCTTTCTTTTTTACAGTAATTATGTGAACACAGGTTCATTAACTTAGGTTTTCTGGTAATTTGACTTAATGCTGTGACTTTTCTTCATTTATTTTCAGCATGTGTTTCGCATTCTCCTGTCTACTCATTGCTTATGGATCCTACAATCCAAATGGTAAGTCGGCCGGAAGAGTACTCGGGCTGATGTGTATTTTCCTTCACTGTATTTGAAACAATGAACAGTAGTTTGGATGTTGAGAAAGTCACTCATGAGCTAACATATGTGTCATTCATTTGCAGAACTGTCGGTCCTTATCTTCATTGCCCTGACTTTCAATGGCTTTGGGGGCATGTGTATGACCTTCACATCTCTCACAGTAAGTGTATACATGTTGTGTGTGTCTTGTAATCCTCCTGATGCAGAGCCTTTGGGAGTAACTCAATGTTTCATTATCACTTTCCACTGCATCCATTAGTGTGCCTTAACAAGAACATCATCGAAACTGTTGAGGATGTGCAACGCTCTTCATTTTACCATAAAGACCCTGCATACCCTAGATTCAGACCTTTACATGTTGAGACAGAAAAACAACTGATGCTCTTCATGATTCCCAGGAACAAACAACCCCTCAACATTCCTTTGCCTTGTCCCCATTGTTGTTCTTCATCTTCCTGTCCCCTCCTCTTGTCATCAGCTCAGCCTTACAGTGACTAACATGGGAGTCCTGTGCTGTACCATGGTGATGCTGCTCACTAGAGAGGGGCTCTTATCCAGTAAATCTCCCAATAAATGCCCCTTTTCTATACCACCACAGGCTGTAACTGTGATGTACATCTCCTATGTGGTATGTGTTGCATCACACTAAAGCCCCCATTAGGCCTAAATGACAGTGATGTAATAAAACCATAATTTAGGGCTTTGTTTGCTCCCACAGTCTGTACATTAAACCACATTCCCCCCGCCAACTTCCATACCGTCTCCTTCACAACCTGATAATGTATATAGTGAAAGTCTTAGCGTTGGGTTAATCATTAGACACTATGCTGTTCCTCGAGTCCTTGATCATGACTGCACCTCAGACCTACAGGCATTTATTCTCAGTTGTTAAGTAATAATCAGCTGGCTCCGTGCCAATGTCAGATGTCAGGTCACATTTCCCATGTATGTGTTTCCAGCAGCTGCTAAACTGGTATCTCTAACAATCGTTTTTTCCTCAGAACTCCTGGAGATATTGCTGAGAAATATTAACTGGGTGCTTCAATGTGCATGCTTAATACCTAATGTAGCACACACACAGCACATACCTTTTACTTAGCTTCCCCAGTCTTGTAATTGGATGTGCTTGTTGTTGTTCAGTCTCTTGAAAACCGAACAGCCTGTGGAGGCCTTTGTGTTTGGATGTTTTTCCACCCACTGTCTCCTGCGTCCTCTGTTTTTCATCACAGCTCTCTTTTCTCTGTGCTCAAACGGGAGCATAGCGTGTAAAAAAACGGAGACAATGTCACCTCACCTCAGTCACCCCTTCGGTCTCAATAGCGCTGTGTTTGTGTCGTGTGTTTGACAGCTGTGTGTGTAATGTGATGCTGTTTCATGTTGTTTTTACGTAGGCTTCATGTCACTTTGTTGTGTTTTACTTCCTTTGATGTCTGCTTGCTAATTGGTTCCCGCTGTCCTCTCTGCCCCAGTGTCTGTAGGCGCCATCCTCATTTGTCTCCATTCTGTCCCTGGTCTCAGTGCAGTCGCTCTGCAGCTGAGACCACTGCGTTCATGGAATAAACATAATCTGCTTGCAAATTACTGCAAGAACTTGAAAAACCAGTGTGAATGATTTAGGGGGATTTATCGGAAATGGAATATCCTAATCACCGGAAACTAAGAGAGTGTTTTAATAAGCTTGGAATGGGCCCTTCTTGCCTACATAATGTGAAGGTCCTTGTCACGAGACCGCCATATTGTACCGCTGTCTTTTTTCTAAAGTAGCCCAGAATGGACAAACACTGTCTCTATAGAAGGCCAATCTGCAACCACTGCTAAAAGCTCTTTAATTCTAGAGTATAAACAGGTTGTAACGATGTCTCTTTTCCTCTCCTCCCTCTAGCTTCCTAACATGTTTGGTGACCTCCGTTCCACCTTCATCGCCCTGATGATTGGCTCCTATGCCTCCTCTGCTGTCACCTTCCCTGGTGTCAAGGTAACAAAGATAACCATTTTTCGTAAAGATTTTGTTTTTTCCATACTGCTTTCCTTACTATATGCAACATTCTGCTTTTTACATTAGCTGTCCTCACTCTTGAATGCATTGTGCAACTATATGTTACAAATGTAGTGGATTGAGCAGCCTAAGCAGTCCTTTGATTGCATTCCAGTTTCTGTTGCCTCATCTGTTTTTTCTATTGATTGATCATGCCTTTATGTTCACAGGTTATCTATGACGTCGGCATACCCTTCATCACTATCCTGGTGGTGTGGGCTGCCTGTGCTGGACTGGTCTTCTTGAACTGCTTCATGAACTGGCCACTGGAGCCGTTCCCATCACCAGAGGACATGGACTACAAGTAAGTACCACAGATCAAATTGACTGTAGAAAGTCGACGACATAAACACTGCCTTAAAAAGAAGAACATTTGCAAAAATGTGTCACCAATTCTACTGTGTGTAGGTGTATGGTAACATTATGCATTGAACTTACACATTGGCAAGTCTCTATTTGTTTAAGTATAACAAAAATAGTCGGACATAAGTGACAGCAGGCTAAAATATGGAGTTCTCGACATCATTGACACTGTTTGACAAATAATGATGTAAGATGTGCAGTGTAATGCTGCCAGGTTAAAGTCTGCTGATGATTAACTCCTTTGTAAATCCTTGTAAATTAAAATGAGACCTTGTTCAGCATAAAACGTTTCCAGTTGAGTGATTCATGCATGTCACCATTTTGTCTTTATGATATTAACTTTTTTCTTTCCTTTTCCTCCATTTCCTACTCGACTCTCCTCTGTCCTCGCTCTCACACTGTCCTCTTCTCTCATCTTATTCCTCTTCATCCCCTTCTCCTCTGCTTTCTCAGTGTGAAGATTAAGTTCAGCTGGCTGGGCTTCGACCATAAAATCACAGGGAAGCAGTTCTACAAACAGGTGACCACCGTGGGCCGGCGTCTCAGCGTGAGCAACAGCATCAAGCAGAAGGAACTGGCCATAACTGACGGAAACAAGCTCTGCCTCTCTACCACGGACCTGGAACTGCAAAGCAAAGACGAGTGTAAGAGTTCAGAAATCAACGCAATGTTTGCCCCATGTTTTGTGCATCTCACTCGATTGCGTATTGTTAACAATTGTGTTTTTTCCATTTCTCCTCTGCAGCCCAGTCCTTCTTGAAAACCATCACCAGCACGATGTTCATGCTCAGTCTGGTGACCATGTGTGTCACTCAGCTCCGTCTCTTGTTCTACATGGGAGCCATGAACAGCGTCCTGGAGTCACTCAGTGATGGAGACCTCAACACAGGTATGTGGCTCTGCTTATGGTTTGAGTATCTCTCTATGTCTTTGTGTTTCGATGTACTAGAAAACGTTTTTGTTTGATTTTTCTTTATCTTGAATCATGTTTTTTCTTTGCCTTATGACATATGCTATATGGTTCTTATTCATGTCATAAATGCATCTGGACTTCAATGGTTTTATTTGTATTTTCAGTGGAAAGAATGGAAGTCGGTAAGACTAAAAGCGTATAATTGTATCAGTAGATTAGTAGATCGTTACTAATAAACTGACTATAATTATAATTTAACCTCTAGAATTGTGTAGGTTTGCATCACAATAATAAATCCACTACTCTCTTGCTTTTCTCATAGCTAGTTTGTTTTTTCATTTGCCCTTCCCTGTTGCCCATGTCAATAACCCAGTCCTTCAGCTGTCATTCAGCTTTAATCTGAAACTACCATTTATTCTACTCATTAACTAGCTTTCTCCTTAGCAACAGCAAAAAGCATTCATCCTATGAGTTTCACATGACTCGTTTTCATTTATCATTACTCCCCTGGCCATAAATCCCCTCATAATGGCATCATATTGACTTTTAGGGAGCTGTTTTCTCCATATCCACTGTTGTTTCATTTCATATGGCTCCAGCACCTATGACTAATGATTAACTGTACCATCATAGTGATTAACCAGGTAGAACAAAGTCCTGTAGACATAATAAACTAGTCATATTTCAACCATTACCTCTGATAACCTCAACTTTATTTTTTTCTGAATTTTTATCATTCATTGCACTCTTTTTTTAAAACCTTTTTGTCCTCATTCTTACCCTCTCTCAGTGGGTCTGTACTCCTCCATCTTCGGTATTATGCAGCTGCTTTGCCTGATGACCACTCCTGTGATTGGTCAGATTATGGACTGGAAGCTAAAGGAGTGCGATGAAGGAGAGGACGAAAAGGAGCCCTGCAGCAAGTGAGTCACTTGTTCCTGAACTCTCTCCATGTATAGGTCCAGAAACTGCTCCATGAACCACAAAATGAACCCTGTATCACGCCTCATGTTCTGATTTCTCTTTTGTTCTTTCTCATTTTGACCATTAGCGGGGAGAAGACGAAAAAGCGAAGAGACAAAAAGACACAGAAGGTGACCAATGCCCTGCGAGCTTTCGTCCTCACAAACGTCCTTCTAGTAGGGTTTGGGATCACCAGTCTGATACCCAATCTCCCCGTGCAGGTGAGTGATCCACTTTAGTCAAAGTCAACTTTATTGTCAATCTTTCAGTTTGTGTGTACAGACAGAGAGATCGAAATACCGTACTCCACAATGCCGAATACGAAAAACTGTCAGAGAAACACCAAATCCAAATGTGCTTCAGACTTGCAAACATTTAGAAATATTAGTATTTGAATATGAAGTGTTTTAATTCAGTTTAGTATTTTGTGAATGTAACAGCAAATGGGAAACCAGTCTGGATCTGTTTTCCTACCATCTTTTTTAGCTTAGTATGTACTTAAATTCTGTTACCTTTGAACCAGTCCTAGATGTTTCCTGTCTTTTTGCTAAGCTAAGCTACCTGGCTCTAGCCTCTCCTCTCCCTCTCAAATGCAAAGGGTTGAACTATTCCTTAAAGACCCTCCTCAACCTTTTTACTGAAGGATAATAAATATTGATCCCTATACCATTTATTCTTTCCTCAGATTGTCTCATTCGTTTTACACACTGTGGTGAGAGGATTCATTCACTCTGCTGTTGGTGGCCTCTATGCTGCTGTGTAAGTCTCATAATACACACACACACACACACACACACACACACACACACACACACACACACACACACACACACACACACACACACACACACACACACACACACACAAAACACAAATTAATCATCATCACTTTTTTTTCTGGATACGGTTAGCTTTAAACTAAAAAACAAAATGTCCTCGCTTCTGTCTCTGCAGGTACCCCTCCTCTCAGTTTGGCAGTCTAACGGGTATGCAGTCCCTGGTCAGTGCTGTGTTTTCTTTACTGCAGCAACCCCTGTTTCTGTGGATGATGGGACCCCTGGAGGGAGACCCCTTCTGGGTATGAATGGACACACAAACACACTCTCAGACTCTCACAAATGAAACCTTCAGGCATGGCTAATTCTGATTTTGTCCCACAGGTCAACATTGGACTCCTTGTTATCAGCATGCTGGGCTTCTTGCTGCCTCTCTACCTGATGTGGTACAGACGGACGCTCCACAAAGAGCAGCTGCAGAGAGAGGGACAAACGCCAAGATCTACTTAAGGATCAACGGCAGCGACATACCCGAGGCCTACGTCTAGAGAAAAGCAAAGGACAGCAGATGATTTTTTACTGAGAAACATTTGCAGCCCAGTAATACGTGCATACATTCACATGCAAAAGGGCAACTACAAATCTTAACTTCTAGAATATAAAATGTCGACCAATTGCATATTCTACAACAAGTACACATACAAACAGACTGACAAATCTGTTATTCCCATGAAGATAAAGAGATAATGCAGTCGTCAAACTAACAATTCAGTTGGACAGTCGCTTTGGAGGACAGTGAAACGTGGAGGGAAACAAGAGGAAAGACTGTGAAAGGAAAGAGGCATAAGCCCTCTGTATTCCCCCCAATCCTCTGACTTTTCTTTTTATTCCCTCTTCTCTGAGCGGCACATTAGTGAAGCTCTGTTCCACATAACAGTGGAACATACATACATTTTCCATGTATGAGCGTTATGAGAGTTTTTTTTAAGCTCCTGAATACCCCCCTGTGACACCAACAAGACAGCTTGTTGTCACCATTATTTGTGAGTGACTCCAATTTTATGAATCTTTTTTTTTTGTATATGTTGACTTTAAATCATCCTGATTGTAAATTCCATAACCTGTCTTTTCATCAGCTGGATTTTTTGGAGAGATGGTGTGAGATAAGTGTGGACTAAATGGCATCAATAAACGACTGCATGGAGAGGTCGATGTTTCTCGGGCGAATACAAAAGAGACTCATCATTAATGCATCTAATTATAGTAAAACACTACTGTAGCTTAGAGTATACTTGAGAATAGGAGGAATGTCAGTATTTTATGGGCTGTATTCTGTAAGAAGGACTTTAAACAAACTGCGGTATGTTTTGCTAAATGCAAAATGTTATTGTATGTTTAGAGTATTTATTTTATTGCCTGCTTTATTTAGTTTTCTTTTTCTAAGTCAAGTTTACCAGGATGCCTTTTAAATAAACGTCCATGTAAGAGAGACGAACATTTTTACACATATCAGTACAAATAGTTTTCCATTTCTTCTTTAGGTTTATCATTCAGATGCCTTATCTTGAGTCAGTATTTCTACCTACTTTTCAGCACTTTATACCTTGTTAACCTCTTTCAATTCCACACATCATCTCATTTCAGCACTTCTCTCATGATGCCTCTCTACAAAAATAGTCCCTCCTCCTACCTTCACATGTGTATTTATTTCATTTTACACTCATTTTTCCACAATACATTTCATCATGTATTTAAAATGTGCTGTGCAGGCTACATGTCGGTATGTCCCATTCGGTGTTGTTGGCATAGAGCTAGATTATGTAGAGATGTTTGTTTTGCAGGTGTTCCTGTTTTAAAATGGAAAAGCTGTGGGGGTTAATAAAGATGAGTTGATATCTTTTCCTTTTTGTTCTATTTTTTTCATTGCTTTCCATACAAAGCTGTTTCTGTGATATTCTTAACGGTTCACAGAAAAAGCTATTAACAAAGTAACCTAGGGCCTGGGGCGATTCGTTTGCTTTTTAATCTACAGGACCCTTTTTATAAATGCATGCTTGTTTTTCTGCTTCTAAAACTACCCCTTACACAATATTTTAAACAATGTAAATTGGGTAGTCATAAATCAGGTTGCAACTTGTTATTATAAAAAATTAAGCTTTTGATTTGAAATTCAGATTTTACAAGTGACACTTTTAGATTTTTTAAATTATCAATGTGTGCCTGTATTTGAAGGCCGAGTTTATAGGACATTTTACAAAAAAAGCTTCAAGAAAAAAATAATTGTTGATTCAGTTTGTAGGTCTTCCTGCTACGAACCAGCAGAGGCCAGTATTGTGAGCCACCACTATTGAATAAATAAACATGTTTGCCTTATTTTAGGCCTTATTTACTTTTAAAACAGAATAGTTTTTTCAACTTTTGATAAACAAACAGCAGTATTTTTTAGTCACACTGACATATACATAATGTCCACACATTTAAACCACACCTGTAGGAATATAGACAATGATGTTGTCTTGATAATTCCACCATTTCATGATGTTAAGCTTATCCAGAAATCCCCCACATATAAAAAGCCTAATTTGCTTGAACCTCAGTGTTTAAGGACAGGGTGTCTCCTGCCTCCATGTCCCCATGCAGGAACCTTGTTCAGAGGTTTTTCCACCAGATGTTCCCGGCACACTCTCACTATATTTGGTTTTACCAGACCTGCCAGCACTCCGTTCTGACATTTGACACTAAAAACTCCAGCAGATGGTTATCATTTGATACCCCTACACACATGAGAATATATCTGACAATGTCACACACACATCAGGGACTGTGGCTCCTGGAGATCTGATGCTTCTGCTGCTGCTGATGGTGAAGCAACTGGCTGGCGGGCAGACCCCTGTGATTTGTTCAGGTACACAGTTCAAAGGGGCAACATGAGACCACTGCCATACAGTCACTAGTCAGAAAGTAGTGGAGCAGCGTTATGTTGAACAATTTAAGGAAGGGTATCCAAAATACTCTTTCAGAAGCTGTATGACAGATAGGTAGATGGACAGATAGATAGATGGATGGATGGATTGTAGCCTACTTCAGGAGGTAACAGGTCAGCATCCTATCCAGAAGAGATATTGGCAGACGGATACAGATGCGCTATAAATACAGCAGCAGTGCACTGTTACATAATTTTAGACTCACACACACGCACTCACATCCCGCTATCTCCGGGACTTGGGGCTGGATTAGGGACCTGTGATGCCCTGTCATTGCATCACGCGCCAACACAATCTTACAGACCCGTGGGTGGTGGACTATCGTGGCCAGGGACCTGCAGCGAGAAAATCCTGTGTGGATGTCTAAGGGTGACGGCACGAGCTCCACGTTTTTTTTTTTACGAAACACCACGTCATACATGTATTTGAAATGTAGAGTAATGTAAAACATCAATGGGAGATATCTATAGTGGACAGGGGTGGGTTTGGGCATTTCTGGAGGAAGATAATCACATTAGATGCAGGGACTTTGTTGGAAGGGCTTACAGAGATGACGCACCGTGCGTCTGTGCCAGCGGTGGTTGTCCCTGTGTCACGCGCATTTATACTCTGGTGGCGAATAACTATGCTACTACGTCAGAGGGACTGTGATGATGACGCAGAGGGTGAAGCACTGAAGAAAAACGATCCAGCAAAGCTCAGAGTATGTTATTTCATGTAGTGATTGTTGGTGGTTTTTCTGATGTTTGTAATTTAAATGTAAAATAAAAATATATTTTGTGTATTTTGTGTTTGACTTCTGCTTTGTCAAATAATTATACTTCATTCATGCTTTGAAATCTATTTTTAGATTGTTGGTGCTGTTGTTTTAAAACTCCTGTAAAACATAAGTAAGGCAAGGCAAGTTTATTTATATAGCACTTTTCAACACAAGGCAATTCAAAATGCTTTACAAAAAATGAAAGACATTAAGAAAAGGGCATTTAAAATCAGTCATTAAAAAGAAAAGCTAATAAAATAAACATTAAAAGAAAAAATACATGGATAAAAGTTACAGCGCAGTTTAAGATATCAATAGTTCAATTAAAAGCAGCGACAAAAAGAAAAGTCTTCAGCCTGGATTTAAAAGTAGTCAGAGTTGCAGCGGACCTGCAGGTTTCTGGGAGTTTGTTCCAGATATTTGGAGCATAATAACTGAACGCTGCTTTACCATGTTTAGTTCTGACTCTGGGGACAGAAAGCTGACCAGTGCCTGAAGACCTGAAAGATCTGGATGGTTCATAATTTAGCAGGAGGTCAGAAATGTATTTTGGGCCTAAACCATTCAGTGCTTTATAAACCAGCAGCAATATTTATAATATTTAAAATAAAGTAAGACTTTTTTTTCCTGCAAGGTCCTTTTGGGGTTCAATCAAGCTATTATATAGGCTACCTTATTCATGGGATCACTTTTAATTTTAGTGATAGCTTTATAAGCTAGAATGGCAAAACGATGTGAATTATTCTCCAAAGTCTGGTTGTTTTTTTTGTAAACATGGTCATAACAAGGTGTCCCATAATCAGCAGAATGTGTATTGTCAAGCATTTAAATAATTATATGAGAAACTGAACATATACAATTGGGTGGGTGGCTTATAGACCCACCACAACAGCCACACAGCACCCCCTGGCGACCCTCCTTCCCTCAGTCTGCTCTGCACAGGCCACTGCGCGCAACAGCAACGCCGCTCCGCGTCCTGATCAGGAAGTGAATCTGAGGGAAATAAGCGACTGTGGAGGTAGAGTGACATAGAGGGGGAGAAGTGGGAGAGAAGCAAGCGGAGATACAAGAGACTAACGGAGGGAGGGATCGACCCTTGTTTCTGGACCCTGTATTGAGCTGCTCCCCTCTTGGAGATACTGCACCGCCAAAAAAAATGCTCATAAAGGAATTGTAAGTAGTATGTGTGTGCGTGTGTGTGTGTGTGTACATGTGTTTGTGTGTGTGTGTGCGTTTACCCGTATGGTTTCGCAGCGCTGACATTGTGGCCAGTTGCCTGGAATTACAAGAGAGAGGCCAGGGTGATCGACATACCGTATATGTATGACTGCGTGTCCGTCATCCTTTTTCATGCATGACACCCCATCACCATAATGCATTCACCGAATAAACCGAGAGATGGATGAAGCTGCGGCTGTGGTCGCCTTAGCAGCCAGTGCAGGCTGTGCCCTTCACATTTTGCATCACTCGTGAAATCATGAGGCTTTTACTTTAGCAGATACATGAATGTCCTTTGCTGGGGTGCTAGAATGACGGATGCTCTAGAGGAGTGGAGCTGAGGGAGAAATGGCTGATATAAGTCACGCCGTGCCGTGCCAGCTTCCATCCCCGTGAGCCTGCTGTGGCCATGTTATTGATGCGCGGTGAAGGTGAAACCACTGATGGAGCATTCCGGCATTTACCTCTGGAGGAATGGAGATAATTGTTTAGGATCTCTGGGTGGGGAGAACAGGTGGGAGTGAGCAGGTAGCATACAGGGGATGTGGTTGCAAAGCGTTGGCAAAAAAAAAGTCAAATGACGAGGTTTTTGACGCACCAGTCAAGACATTTCTGAGAATTTGACAGCTGGGCCAAAGGGACAGGATAGCACACGAAGCGGCGTCGTTCGTGCAAACGAAAAGATTTGGGAATAGTTTAGCACGTTACTTTAACACGTTGCATGTGCAGGCCTCAGTGTTCTGTGAGGATAACAGACTGAGGCCTGCTCACAGTCAGCTGGTGGTTAGTATAAGGGACAGGCCGGTGGATTGCAGATGAACTGGGATGAGTTTGGCCGGGAAATAAAGAAAATGGTATATTATTCATTGTTTTCGAGTTCACACAGGATGTTAGTTCCTTCATGTTCAAGCTCTTATGCATGCTGTCACTCTGTACACTATATTCAGTTTGCCTTACAGAGCAACCCACCTGTGTACAAAAGTAATCACTGTGGTTTGCTCCACGTTTTAAGTGTTACAGTATAGTTCCAGATGGTTTTGCACCCTCTTTTCTATAAATTATTTAAAATATTTACATGAATCTTTAAGAAGCATGTATGATAATTGCTTTATTGCAATTCTATGGCAAGGTCAGAGCTATGCTACCATAAATTGGCACACATTTTGAGCTACTGGCAGCTTCAGCACCTAAAAATAACAATGATCTAGAACAGCATAACTGATCAGAACATAAATGGCTGTGCATCAATCAGCACTCATAGTTTTCTGGATTTCTCACAATAAGACTTCAATCAATTAATGTCCCTATAGTCTAAGCTCAGGGTGAGAGTGATGGCATGGCTGACAATCTTTGGTGATTACAGAGAGTCTGGCTCTCAGCAGTCTGCCTTGAAATGAATGTGGTCACGATGACATGCTGAATGCACTTACACAATGCTGTCAACACACAGACACATGAGAAACTTCAACATGATCACACACACACTGAGATGGTATCACAGGGGTATAGAGATGACCCATTTTCTGCTGTAGTACAGACAGGCTTTCTTTTACTCCACACCGTTCACTGACCTAAATCACTCCTGCTCCATTTTTTATTACGATTTCATGAGCTTTTGCAGGTGAACATTGGTACCTTAGCCAATGTTCAGTGTGATGTAGAGAATAAGAGAATAAGAACAAAAGATTACAGGTTTTCTTAACCTTGGAGAGGTTTGTAAAAGACAGTGTGTCGTTTTCTTTAATGCCCCTGAAGCAAATGTGTGATATTATGCTATATATTGGAAATTGAATTTACTTGAAGAAAGGATGAGATGAAAAAACAAACCATGCAGGAAAGAAAACGGGTGTTGGGTTTTCTGAAGCAACAGAGAGACACCTGATCTTCCTGCCAAGACCTTTAGACCAAGGAGATTTACAGAGAGAGAGAAACCATTAAGGTGTCTTACATCTTTGTTTTATTTAACCGTAAATTCAAGTGTGTTTTTCAAATTAGAAGCAATCGCCTCAAATTAAGCAACATAAAAATACTTATTTTGGGAGATCTGTATTTAAAACTATATTGCCATTTGACACGACAGACTGTCTCTGGCTTGGTTGTAGCATCTGGCCTCCCATCCAATGTCTGGCTGCGACTCAGACCCAGATTACACTCTGTGGCAAATGGGACGCAGGATTATCTGAATTTGGGTATACATCACAAAGTTACAAAACAATAAACAAAGCTGCACACTGTATGTGCGTGAGGTGGTACAAAGTGCACACGTGTCAGAGACAGAAGGCATTGCTGTTTCACAATCCCCAAAAATAGTATTTTGTAGTCTTTCCTCACACGTTGATACTGTATGTGTGTGTGCAGTACTGGGGATGGCAATTAAGGCAGAGATAAAGTTACCATACATTTGAGTCCTTCTTATTTTGAGTAACCCACTCCCTCAACATCAATAACTTATAGCAGCCTGTTTCTATCCCCATTATTATATATTTGTCAAATTGTGACCAAGCTAAACAACCCTTTTCATAACACTTTGTAATGTATATCATGCGTCAGGAACATTACATTAGCTTACATTTAAGATAACATTTCACATATACATTACATGAAACATTAACACATTAACCTCCCTTTATCCGTCGGTAATTTAAAATGTAACACTTACTGTATCATCGGATCATAAAAAAAACGTTTCTAATACATTTATCATTAAGACATTGCAGGTAACCGTAACATTTAGATCTATTTAGGCTAGTTGAATAATAAGAACCTTTTTTGGTATCACACCCTAATACAGAGATGTAAAAAATCTGATATTTTTGCCCCTTATGTCGATATAAATAATGATAGCATATTAAAAATCATATCTTCATAGGTATAACCTTTAATAGAAACTTTCCTTTCTTAACTTAGCTCAGTTTTTGCATTTTGTCTCACTGTTTTCCTGCTTCAGTGAAGCATCTTCTCATCTTCTCCTCAGAATAGAAAATAATATATCACCTTTTATCTCCTGATGACTCAGTGTTAGAGCAACCAAGTGAAATATGTAAATGTCATACCTAATGGGATTTTTTGTTCAGTTTTGAATCCACATTATTATCCTTATTATTTTTGTATTATTCTAGGTGTCACGATCTGTCTGTGTTCTTCTGTGTTTTATTTTGGGGTTTCGCGATCTGTCTTTTTTTCTGTTTTATTTTTAAAGGTGTTCACCCCCTATCTTCTGTGTGTTGTTACTTCCTGTCTCTGTGTTTCCCTCCTGTTTGATTACCTGATTGTGTTCGCCTGGTGCTCCTGTGGTTTTTCCTCCCTCCCCACCTGTGTCTTGTCTTTGTGATTATTCTTGCTGGTGTTTAAGTTATGTTTGCCTTTCAGTTGTTGTCAAATCCCTGATGATGTTTGGCTGTTTATTGTCAGAGAGAGTTTATTTTTCAGTGTTTTGCTATGGCTTGTTTTGCCTGGCCCAGTTATGCCAATAAAGAAATTTGATTTAAAGAAACTGTCTTCTACATGTGGGTCCTGTGTACTCTGCTCTCCAACCGTGACACTATGTTTAATAAAGGACATGTCGTGTAAAAAATAGATAAGTAGCCTTATCATTTATACTACAAAAACATTGGAGAAAGTATTTCCTCTGTGAGAGGTTAAATTCCTCCAATAAGGAGCATTGCTGTTTGATTGTCAGGTAGTGTTGGTAAAGCTTTTATATTTCCTCATTACATTTCCCTTGGGCTTTCTCCAGCTCAGCTGACGAGTCTTTAGAGACCGCTTCATGACAGAGACTCATGTTTGTCAGATAATTAGTGTCCAGACTTGTGGGGAGCTGAATGAATAAAAGCGTGGGTCCATTTTCTCACCATGTCACTCACAGGATCTCTCCAGGCTTATCTTGTTAACATATACAGTTTATTATTATCAAATTAAATAATGATTCATGTCGAATTATACTGCAAATAACTAATTAAGTAGCACAGCTGTTAAGCCATAAAAACACAGTGAGACCACAGGAATTTTTTTTAATTTGAACCTTTAAATCCAGAGGTGTAACGGGATTGAAGAATTCCAATCCCTTTTTTTTAGGCTAATATGTATCTTAATGTCATGTTTTCATCACTGTTTCGAAAGGAATTAGTCTGAGATTGTTACTGTTTGACTTTGAGTAACGTCCCTCCTCTTTCCTTCTCTTCCAGTCGAGTGATTCTTCCTATCTCTGTGGAAGAGGTAAGTTGTATTTGAGTATATTTCTGTGTGTGTGTGTGTGTGTGTGTGTGTGGTGTGTGTGTGTGTGTGTGTGTGTGTGTGTGTGTGTGTGTGTGTGGTGTGTGTGTGTGTGTGTGTGTGTGTGTGTGTGTGTGTGTGTGTGTGTGTGTGTGTGTGTGTGTGTGTGTGTGTGTGTATTGCTTAAGGCTCAGGTTTTGTTATCTGATTCTCTGGTTGATATATAGAAGGCCCGCCATCACTAAAGCTGTTCTTTTTTAAATGGCCTTTGAACTTAAATGTGTTTATTCCTATGCTTAACATTTTCAAAAGTTATCTTATTTTAGACCTAATTTTGCACTAACTCGCAAACATTGCATAGAAAAAAGGCAGCAGTGAAGAAAAACTCTTCATCATATTATAGATGCTTCTTTCACTGTCTATGTCCCCTTTTCCCTCTGTGTCCCCTGCTATCCTAATTTCCACACGTTGCTCTTCTCTCCAGGCCTGCATCTTAAATGAGTAACCTGAAACTACTTCCATGACTTCCTTTGCAACCCCTCTCGCTGTTGCCCTCATATTTATGCATTGCATGAGAGTAATTGACTTTCGGTGGTGACTTTTGACTCGTGCTGTTTATAAACGACAACTAAATGTTGACTCCTCTAGCCAACAAGGACCTTATCTCCTATTACACACAATAAACGGCTTGAATTATGAGAATTCAGCAACCGTGATTTCTCAAAAACACGACAACCGACACATTTATACTTATATTATCTCATATAATGCCAGATTCCCTATAGTATGGGGTTATGGAGCGACACCGACAAAAAGCTAACTGGGATTGGCTGGAATGATTTCAGGTATATATAAACTTCTCCTCACCTCCACTGCCAATACTAATCTGCAGACACAGAAAAGATGGGAGCAGGATTTAGGCATCACCCTTACCCCAGTTGAGTGGGACAGAATCTGGGCGAACTCAACATCAATCTCCAAGTGTGTCCGGTTTAGAGTAATACAGTTACAAATCCTTCACAGAGCATACATCACACCCTGTAGACTCAAAAAGATAGATCAAACACTCTCGGGCCTATGCTGGCATGGTTGTGCGGAAGTGGGTACCCTTTTACATTTTCTTTGGTCCTGCCCGGCTGTAAAATCTCTATGAGACGTAGTTGGAGATACACTCGCTGAGATCCCGAACATAGACATACTCTTAACTCCAGCTACATGCTTGCTCAATGGCATAACATCAACATTTGCAAGTAAACTTATAGCCCTGCCTATACCATGCCTTTCAACTAAACGCCTCGTTCTTATGAACTGGAAAGTCAGAAAGCCCAAACTGCTTCAATTTAAATAGATGGCTGGAGGACTTCCTAAACATCTTAAGTATTGAAGAAGCTGCTTTCTCCCTGTTATATTTGGTTAAGCCAGACAACAGGCTTTGGGATAAGATAAGGGCTTCAACATAACCTGGATATGTTTGAGTTACATTACATGTCATTTGTTAGACGCGTTTATCCAAAGCGACTTACATTCAGTACTGTGGACAATCCCCACAGGAGCAATTTGGGGTGAAGTGTCTTGCCCAGGCACACGACGACATGCTGACTGTAGTGGGGTTTGAACCTGCTACCCCCTGATTTGAAGTCCAGCACTCTAACCACTGAGCCACAGCCGCACCATGTTACCCGGTTTACCTAATCCAAAACAAACGCGCTCTCACTAAGCGGTCCTACGACACTGGTTATCAACTCGTTAACTCAAGCCAGCTTTGCCCTATCTAGTTATGTGCGCGTTCACATAAAAGGGGCGGGGTTAGCAACATTTGACCAATCACAAACATGGAGAAGCGCACTGACAGCGCAGCGTCATACTTCCTGAATGAAAAGTGAACTATATTATTAGACAAATTATGAAGACTTTAAACATCCATGACTTAAACACTTTATCCAGGATAAAAGCCACATAGCTGCGAATACAGCTGGTAAAAAAAAAGTGTTTGAATGCGTACATTAACAGGTTTATGATATCACTGCCCCGTCTAAGACACGAGTGGATCCTTGAGGCCCCACGCAAAGTTAGATGATGAGGGCCTCTGTTTCGCGAGCGTCGATGGGGGACGGGGAGCTACTGGAGCCTCGCAGTGGCGAAACCGTGCCGCGCCACACTAATTGCGGCGCATAAACGCATAGGTACTCAGGTGAGGCTCCCTCCGCAAGATGAGGCCCCTTCCGCGAGGTGAGGCCCCACGCAGTCTGCGTGATCTTCTGTAGGGAGGGACGGCCCTGGGCGGATCTGACTTTAATTACATTTGACTCGAGTGTTTCGTCAACTTAATGTGTTGCTTAAAATAATACTTCTGCATACAGTATGTGACACTGTAAGTGTTGCACGGCCAGATACGGCTCAGCTGACTCAGATAAGAAAATATATGATACTGTGAGCCTCTCCGCTCACACAGGGTTCAAAGAGGGACGGAAAGAGCAGGGTTTGGGTTGAACACAGGCGTTTATTAGCACCAAAACAAAGTACACAACACGGATTGCAAAACGTTGCCCGTGTGGGATCCTTCACAGGTCCTTTGGCGACCTTCCAGGATCCCGCCTACTGCAAGACAGACCAGAACCAGGTTACAACCCAGAGCTTTCCCTGAAGTTAGCTCGCGAAGCGAAAATCCTGCTTCGTAGTACAGGCCTCTGAATTTTTAAATATACTAATTATAATAACTCGTCGGCGAGCGTCTGGTGGCCGGGCTTGCCACGGAGCCCGGCCGGGCCCAGCCCGAAAAGGCAACGTGGGCAACACCTCCGCTTCTCCGTCCCGTGGGCCCACCACCTACGGGAAACATCGATGGGGTCGGCTGCGCTGCCAGAAGGGTGGCAGTGAAAGCGGAGGGTCTCGACGGACCAGACCCGGGCGACAGAAGCTGGCTTTGGGGACGTGGAACGTCACCTCTCTGGGGGGGAAGGAGCCGGAGCTTGTGCGGGAGGTGGAGCGTTACCAGTTGGATCTGGTTGGGCTCACCTCTACGCACAGCGTCGGCTCTGGAACCTTACTTCTGGATAGGGGTTGGACTCTATTCTTCTCCGGAGTTGCTCAAGGTGTGAGACGCCGGGCGGGTGTGGGGATACTCACAAGTCCCCGGTTAGGTGCTTCGTTGTTGGAGTTTACCCCAGTGGACGAGAGGGTCGCCTCCCTACGCCTGCGGGTTATGGGGGGGAAAACTCTGACTGTTGTGTGTGCTTATGCACCCAACAGCAGTTCAGAGTATACGGCCTTCTTGGAGACCCTGGAAGAGTCCTGTATGGGGCTCCTGAAGGGGACTCTTTAATCTTGCTGGGAGACTTCAACGCACATGTGGGCAATGATGGAGACACTTGGAGGGGCGTGATTGGGAGGAACGGCCCCCCTGATCTGAACCGGAGTGGTGGTTTGTTACTGGACTTCTGTGCTAGTCATGGATTGGCCATAACAAACACCATGTTCGAACATAAGGATGCTCATAAGTGTACGTGGTACCAGAGCACCCTAGGCAGAAGGTCCATGATCGATTTCGTTATCGTATCATCGGACCTGAGGCCGTATGTTTTGGACACTCGGGTAAAGAGAGGGGCGGAGTTGTCAACTGATCACCATCTGGTGGTGAGTTGGGTCGAGTGGCGGGGGAAGCCTCTGGATAGACCTGGTAAGCCCAAACGTGTAGTTCGGGTGAACTGGGAACGTCTGGAGGAGGCCCAAGTTCAGGAGGCCTTCAACTCACACCTCCGGCGGAGCTTTTCGGGCATTCCTGTGGAGGTTGGGGACATTGAACCAGAGTGGTCGGTGTTCAAAGCCTCTATTGCCGAAGCCGCGGCGGGGAGCTGTGGTCTCAAGGTCCTAGGTGCCTCAAGGGGCGGTAACCCTCGAACCTCCTGGTGGACACCAGTGGTCAGGGAAGCCGTCCGACTGAAGAAGGAGGCCTTCAGGGATTTGTTATCCCGGGGGACTCCCGAGGCAGTTGCAAGGTACCGACAGGCCCGAAGGGCAGCAGCCTCATCCGTGGCCGAGGCAAAGCAGCGGGTGTGGGAGAAGTTCGGAGAAGACATGGAGAAGGACTTTCGGGCGGCACCAAAGTTGTTCTGGAAAACTGTCCGACACCTCAGGAGGGGGAAGCAGGGAACCATCCAAGCTGTGTACAGTAAGGATGGGACGTTGTTGACCTCACCTGATGGAGTGTTAGGGCGTTGGAAGGAACACTTTGAGGAACTCCTGAACCCGACAACTCCGCCCTCTATGTTAGAGGCAGAGCTGGAGTATGACGGGGGATCAACACCAATCTCCCGGGGGGAGGTCACTGAGGTCGTCAAACAACTCCACAGTGGCAAAGCCCCGGGGGTGGATGAGATCCGCCCGGAAATGCTGAAGGCTCTGGGTGTTGAGGGACTGTCATGGTTGACACGTCTCATCAACGTTGCATGGAAGTCAGAAACAGTACCGAAGGAGTGGCAGACCGGGGTGGTGGTTCCCCTTTTTAAAAAGGGGGATCAGAGGGTGTGTGCCAATTACAGAGGCATCACACTACTCAGCCTCCCCGGGAAAGTTTACTCTAAGGTACTCGAAAGGAGGGTCAGGCTGATTGTCGACCTCAGATTGAGGAGGAACAATGCGGATTCCGTCCTGGTCGTGGAACGACGGATCAGCTTTTTACTCTCGCAAGGATCCTGGAGGGGGCCTGGGAGTACGCTTATCCGGTCTACATGTGTTTTGTAGACTTGGAGAAGGCGTATGACCGAGTTCTCAGGGAGTTACTGTGGGAGGTGCTGCGGGAGTATGGGGTGAGGGGGTCTCTACTCAGGGCCATCCAATCTCTGTACTCCCAAAGCGAGAGCTGTGTCCGGGTCCTCGGCAGTAAGTCGGACACATTTCCGGTGAGGGTTGGCCTCCGCCAGGGCTGCGCTTTGTCACCAATCCTGTTTGTAATATACATGGATCGGATTTCGAGACGTAGTCGTGGGGGAGGGGGTCTGCAGTTCGGTGGACTAAGGATTGCACCACTGCTTTTTGCAGATGATGTGGTTCTAATGGCTTCATCGGTCTGCGACCTTCAGCACTCACTGGATCGGTTCGCAACCGAGTGTGAAGCGGCTGGGATGAGGATCAGCACCTCCAAATCTGAGGCCATGGTTCTCAGCAGGAAACCGATGGACTGTCCACTTCAAGTAGGGAATGAGTCCTTACCCCAAGTGAAGGAGTTCAAGTATCTCGGGGTCTTGTTCTCGAGTGAGGGAACAATGGAGCGTGAGATGGGCCGGAGAATCGGAGCAGCGGGAGCGGTACTGCAGTCGCTTTACCGCACCGTTGTGACGAAAAGGGAGCTGAGCCAGAAGGCAAAGCTCTCTGTCTACCGGGCCATTTTCGTTCCTACCCTCACCTATGGTCATGACTGAAAGAACGAGATCGCGGATACAAGCGGCCGAGATGGGTTTTCTCCGCAGGGTGGCTGGTGTCTCCCTTAGGGATAAGGTGAGAAGTTCGGTCATCAGGGAGGGACTCGGAGTTGAGCCGCTCCTCCTTCGCGTCGAAAGGAGCCAGTTGAGGTGGTTCGGGCACCTAGTTAGGATGCCACCTGGGCGCCTCCCTAGGGAGGTGTTCCAGGCACGTCCAGCTGGGAAGAGACCAAGGGGTAGACCTAGGACCAGGTGGAGGGATTATATCTCTTCGCTGGCCTGGGAGCGCCTTGGGATCCCCCAGTCAGAGCTGGTTGATGTCGCCAGGGAAAAGAAAGTTTGGGGCTCTCTGCTGGAACTGCTACCCCCGCGACCCGCGGTGAATTAATCAGAAAAGGAATAGATATATATATTTATTTATTTGACAATTTATCTATTTATTTATTTATCTATTATACATTTTTGTTTTTGTTTTATAATAATAATGAGGAAACAATGAAGTATATCTATATTATGAAGCAAATCGTGTATAAATACAACGCCATAATGCATACATAAAATGTAACTGACACTGAAATTCCCCTACCCCCCCCACCCCTTCATGTTATTGTCCTGTCCTATTTGTGATGTGTGTGAGCCATGTCCTTGTCCGTATGTTTTTGTCTTTGAAAATGTTTTATAAAATATAAATGTTAAAAAAAAGACATGACAACCGGTTTGCAGGAGACACAGCAACTGCAGCAAATACATTTTGTGTCTTGTACTTCCATGTCCTCAAGCAGTCTGTTGAGCCACTCATGTTATTCTCATTAACTTTGTGTGTTTGTAGCCTTTATCCTAATCATGTCACTACATAAGAAGGCAGGAGGCCTGAGGTTGTGTGACAGTCAGCATGCTATGACATGATTAGAGGCTTGAAAACATACCTAAGAGATGTATTAGACTTAAATGTGTGCTGAGAAGCCTGAATACAGTTGAGAAACGTCCCCTGTATCATGAACCACTTCTGACCCCTCAGTCCTCTGTCCCTCCAGAGCTTCTTATTCTCCGTTTCCCTCGCTACATGCCAACTCTCTGAAGCAGCGGCCTTCAGTTATTTGCTGCAAAATCACAATTGGGGTGTTTTGTTCAATTTATTATGGATGTGATTTTCTTTCTTTTCAAAACGTTCACTGATTAAATCTGATTCATTGAAGAAGCAGTTGTATCTTCACTAGGAATGACTACAGATTATTATCTATTAAGAAAGGTTTTGTTTGGATTACGCTACATGTAACAGGGCTCTTCCGGCTGTTAAAAACCCTTGGAAAGTATTCAAAATTGAATTTCCTGTGTGTGAACTTCCTCCCGGGAGCTTTATCAGATCTCTATTTATTTTTCACCAAACAGAGAAGTTCTTGTATAACGGAATAAGCACTCACCTCACAAGGCAAGGTTGAATTATGTTTGTCCAACACCGTGACCCAAGAGGCTCTGCTGTTACTACATCCCTTTTGTTTATTTGGCAGTGGCGATGTCTGCAGCTGACTTTGAGCAACAGTCTCTCTGTTCTAGTCATTCAATTCAGAGGCCTTTTACCTCTCAGTGTTCACATTATGCAAAGGTCATTTAAACCAGTTGGCACAGTTCTGGTCTTTTCAGCTTCAGCAACTTCACCTGTCCACATATCACTGTTGTTATCTTTCATTGATGTTGCTGTGGAGGAGTAACCTTTAAAATGCAAACAAAGGGTCAAAAGGTCATGGCCAAAATGAGCTGTCTTTGAAATGTGGCCTTTTATCCAAGAGACCTAAGATACAGTAACCGTCTGTCACTGTTGCTCTGAACACAGCGAGCAGTTGCTATTTAATAAAGGATGGGACTATTGAAGTGTAAGCATCCTGCCCAGTGCACATACATCTACGATCAGGTCGCAATTCAGTAACCCCTAATTGAAATATAGAAGTCAATAGTGATTTATCTAGAATTACCGACATCTAAAACACTTGCAAACCTCGAGTAAATATTGTAGCTACAGAGGAGTTGAATAGGAAACCAATCGGCAATCCAAAATATTCATGTAAAGTTATTTTAGATTTCTTTCTAAATTCAAACAATCCAACGCAATAAATGAAGATCGAGCAAGTTCATTATGAACAGCAACTTCACCTGTCCACATATAGTATCATTACATCCACAGGACTTAGTTTAAACTGGTTTGATTTGAAACCATTTTATTTGTGTCTTTCCCGAAGCCACATAAAAGATAAACGAGGAGATTTGAAAATGTTTATACACCAACTCCCTTTTTTATTACTCAGTTTTGAGGAAATTCATTCATAAATGGTCTCTTTAGAGAGAACATCTGTCAAACTTAGTTGTGATTTGGGCGATGTAAAGAAAATGTACAATAAACTGTTGTGACACGCTCTTTACACTTATCGTGTTTCTTCAACATGACTAATGAGTCTTTAACTTAAAGGTCCCATGTCATGGCCATTTCTACTGATCATAATTCCATTGTTGAGGTCTACTAGAATAGATGTAAATTGTGCAATTTTCCAAACTCACATTGGTTTCTCAAACAGCATCTCTGTATAGTATGTGTATTCACTCTCTGTCCTAAACGACTTGTTGGAGCTCCTGCCCCCCCCTCCCTGTGAGCCCAGTGTGCTCTGATTGGTTGGGACGTTGCAGGGCTCGCTGCTCAGTGAGCTGGCTTACTGGTGTGGTTTCCGGGTCGGCGATACAGCGAGAACAAGCAAGACTCATCCTGAGCACACACAAACACTCACAGCCGAAGTAAAAACAATAAGTGTGGTTTGATATTGAGTAAGAAAAAGGTTTATAAACGCTGTGAGAATGGGTTTGCGGAGAGCATTTCTCCACGATCCCAACTCGTCTATTACCAGCATTCAGGGAGCTCTATGCAAGTCAATGGGGACTCCCTGTTAGTTAGCCAAGGGATCCTGGTGTGTGAGGTGCTGCGCGGATTGGTCCATTTGGGCCAATCCGGTCATTTGTTGTTGATTTGGGTGTTCACACGTCACAGAACCCAGGAAGAAAACAATGGAAAATGAGAAATCTCCAACGAGGCCTTCTGGGGCAGCATAGACAGGTCTTTTCTGTGTTAGAGTTTTACTCGCTACAGGGGGTACTTTGAGGGTTTGTGACTCTGCAGACCGTTTTCATGCATAAAAACCTTCATAACACACAAGGGGACGGGTAATAACCGGAAAAGCATGACATGGGTCCTTTAATGTAAATGTTCGATGTCAAATCCACTCTTGCTCCTAGATTGTAGGTTTTCGCTGAGGATGTGCATAGTCTATAATATTATCATGGTTAGATTTTAAAGTACAATAGAACAGAAAGCCAAATGTAATCTCTCCTGTGAAAATCCAAAGGTTTCATGTTTGTGATGTACGTTTGTCTGCCCTCTGGTCCAGCTTTGTTCAGGGGTTACATGGTGGATTAGAAGTGATTAAGAAATGAAAGGAGCCATTGTCTTGCGTCCAAACGCTAGCGTGCACACTCGGGACCAGGAGGATGGAGAATGAGAGTTGGAGAGGAATGAAAGTGAGAGAAAGTGTACAATTTGGGAAGGAGGTAACAAGCTTGGTGCAACAACAAAAAGTGACGGGTCAATAAGACAAAAAAATAGATTACGAGGATTCAGTGCCAAGGAAAGGAGAGTGTGGAGATCAGCTAAAGGATCAGAGGTAAAAGTAATCCACCCTTTAGATTGAAAAAGATGAGATGAAATACAAATGTGTGACAGTGAAAGCTTAACCATCTACAGGATAATACAAGACGAAGGAAACAGCTTCTTATTGCTCCCTTCGAACACACTTTCTGTCTCAGTTCAACCTGTCTTTCTCTGTTTTCCAGTACCAGGTCGGCCAGCTGTACTCTGTGGCTGAGGCCAGTAAGAATGAGACGGGTGGAGGAGAAGGAGTGGAGGTGCTCAAAAATGAGCCCTACGAGAAAGATGGAGAAAAGGGACAGTACACACACAAAATCTACCATTTGCAGAGGTAAGCAAATTGTCCCAAAAGTTCACTCTGGAAGACTATTTCATCTCTCTAGAGCAGTGCTTCTCAAAGTGTGGTCCGCGGACCACTGGTGGTCCGTGAGCGCCCCCTAGTGGTCCGTGAGTATATTGGTAACATTTCACATTTGAAATAAATAAATAAATTTAAGTTTTCCGCACTCTCGCGGGAATATCTCTCCGCAATGGAGCGAGCTTAAGTTTAACTTTCGATTGCATGATATAGCCCAGATAAACACCTTCATCACACATGTGGCCACCTGTTTGTACCATTTTCAGGCGATTTGTAAAAAACGATGTGTTTTTGGATATTTGTGGAATTAGGTGGTCCGCGAGTGTTTTTTTATTGGTTAAGTGGTCCTTGGTATGAAAAAGTTTGAGAAACACTGCTCTAGAGGCATCTCTTGGCCCCCATTCATTTAGACATTTATCAGCTCCCCCAAGTTGACTCCAGGCTACTAAAGGAATAGTTGGACATTTTGGGAAATGCGTTTTTTTGCGTATGAAGAAAAGGTTGTTACCACTTTATTCTGTTTACCAGCAGCAGCCAGGTTAGCTTAGCATTGGGACAGTAAGTTACATGTTAACGTTAGCATGCTAACTACTCACAATGACTTCTGCAGTTATAAAGTTGACCATGTTCAACATCTAAGTTTAACATTTGAACACACAGCTGCAGTTGAACTATGCTTTGTACCTGCAAATCAATTCCCGATTCAGGTATTGTTCAATAAGTATACAAAACAATATATTTACCTTGATCTGTTCTCTCTGTCCCGCAGTAAAGTGCCGTCGTTCGTCAGAATGTTGGCTCCATCTTCAGCTCTCAACATCCACGAGAAAGCCTGGAACGCATACCCATACTGTCGCACAGGTAGCACACACTTCTGCTATTGCATCGCACCAATTATTTAAATCTAGAGTGATTTTCAATACCACCATCCCCACGATATATACTGAAAGCTTACATTTTTGATATATTGGGGGTTTGAGTTCTGTCAATAAATTAATTCACTTACTCATTGCAATGTAATGTGTGAATACAGTTGATTTAAATAACTTAGAAGTCACATCAATGCTGAACTTTCTAAGGGATGTCGTTCTCCGACTACCTCTGTGTCCTCTCACCTTAAAGGAGTAGTTGAATTATTAACTGCATGTCCAGTGAGAAGAGCCATGCAATCATTCGAGCCTTTCAGGCTGAGTTCACTCACACACTAGCAGCTTTAAGACAGCCATCTTTCATACAAACACACATGACCTTCAAGGCACCAAGCACACACAACACTTACATTGCTGATGAATTTCCCTCGACCTCCGTAAATTATCCAATGCTATTATATTTCTCATATGTTCGTCCACTCAAATATTTTGTCTTTCTGTTTTTTCCTGTGCTTTCCTTCATCTGGCTCTGCAGTTATCACTGTAAGTATTTTTCTTTACACTTACAGATATCAAGTATGTCGACACAAAGCGAACATTGAATCCTAAAGTATAGAGGGACCAAATTAACCTGAAAGTTGAGATAGAAATCTGATCCATGTCACTGACAGAGCAGCAGCAGGATCTTCAGACAGAGTGTCTGTGTTGCTTACATTACAGAATTACTGTTCCTTGTTACTCATGTGTGTTTCTCTTTTCTCTGCAGAACGAGTATATGAAAGAGAACTTCCTGATTAAGATTGAGACATGGCACAAACCGGACACGGGACATCACGAAAATGTAATTATTAAAGACCATAATAAGCTTGATGGTGCATGCATGAGGAATTTGTATGGTGTTTTTTAAAAGACTTTCACAAGGCAAAGAAAAAATGCAAATGTTACACCACTAGTCCTTTTTAAAAATCATACTGTATCTCACACCTTGTATGGGAAGTTTTTTTGTTTCTTATTCATTTCCTCTAATGCTCGAAGTTTAATAAAAAAACATGTCCCACTGCTTCAGTCTGTTTACTTGTCATCTAGTTAAAAATGTCTTAATGAATTATTGTGCAGGATGTACTGAAACAAGCCCCTAATTAAAGGTTCCCATATTCATTTGGACAGTGCTCTATGTTTAAATAAATATAATTATGTAAAAAAGAAAAGTGAGCCTGCAAAACTTCCAAATAGGAATCCACTAATGACCAGATAAATGTTTTGCCCATGTATATTTTTACTTTCTACTCCTTATGGACTTTCGAAAAAATAAATTCTCTATGCTTCTCTTTCAGGTTCATGGTTTGGATCCAGAAACCTGGAAGAAGGTGGATGTAGTCTATCTTGATATCGCTGACAGGACCCAAGTGGAGCCGAAGGTAAAACCTTTTGCTTAAAATCGACTTTTTGCGTCGCCTTCTTATCCATTTTGTTCATTTGAGTTGTTCTTGCATCTCTCCAGGACTACAAGCCAGAGGAGGATCCTTGTAGGTATAAGTCAGTGAAGACGGGACGAGGCCCTCTAGGACCAGACTGGAAGGTACAGCTTCTTGTTGTGACTTTATTAACTGAAAAAAAAGATAAATACAGAACTCCAACCACATATGTGTTATATATTGATGTGCACAGATACTTATGTCTGAGCAATTATTTAGTAAGTGCTAATACCTAACACGAGACACACATTTTACCATAAGGAAGCAGGGCCATATTTAATTTTGATCACACTAAGGTCATAGTATTATGAGAATTCAACACCTTAGTATTTCTGAAATTGTGGTTACTGCCCTGAATGCAGAAGATTAAAGCAAAACCTGAATTCAAAAGATTGAGCCTATATTATTTCATGCACAAGCAACGCAACGCTGCTAAATAGGGATCAACTTACTACGGCAGACATGTGTTGTCAATGTATATTGTTGTACTTACTACTCCTTTGGCTATGTAATCTTTGTTAACAATTGAAAACATTATTTGTGTTTTATGTGTGCATTTGTAGAAGGAACTTCCTAAGAAGACAGACTGCCCGCACATGTGTGCCTACAAACTGGTCACTGTCAAATTCAAGTGGTGGGGCCTGCAAAACAAAGTGGAGAGCTTTATTCAAAAGGTTAGTTTTTAGCTCAGGCAGTTTATCACTTTTAGTTGATTATGACGTCCAGACAGCCACAGGTCAATGTCAGCTACTGAGGAGGGACTGTGTCTGTGCGCCATAGCGTCTCGCATACAGCATACAGTACATACAGTACATACAGTGTGTCACATCTTAGCTTGAGGTTATGGTGGAAAAGTACCACCCATGATGATGCAGATACAAATGGGGCTGCACCAGCCTCTAGTGGATAAACAGGGTAAAGCAGGGAGGAAATTGAACATCTGAAAAGTCTGCCTGATTGTATCATTAGGATTTTAAAACAACCAGATGACTTCCTCTTTCTCCCTTTTGTGTTATTTCACAGCAAGAGAAGCGTTTGTTCACTAATTTCCACCGTCAGCTGTTTTGCTGGATCGACAAGTGGATCGACTTGAACATGGAAGACATTCGTCGCATGGAGGAGGAGACACGCAAGGAGCTAGATGAGGTGAACTCAAATGTTAATTTATATAATAAAAATGTATTCAAAGATAGAGTCCTAAAACAGGACCCACTCTGAGGACATGCTCATGTTTGAATATGAATGTGACCTGTCGTTTGTTCTGTGTGCGTCAGATGAGAGTGAAGGACCCAGTGAAAGGGATGGTGGCTCTAGAGGACTGAGGTTGTGTCGGACCGTGAATGCTGCTGCTCATCAGGTGAGAGGAATTTAAAATGTTTTGTGTGTCTGAATATGTATTGGACTGTCTGTATATTAGGGATGAAAATTCAAAGATGTATCTTCCCAGCCTGCCACATTTTGTTTAATTGGATTCAACTGACAGGCCTGCAAGTGATATGAGACCATATCATATGCCAAATTAGCACAATAAGTTACATTTATATCAACACAAACAATAAGCGACTCAAATGTTTTAAACGTTCAGGAGAAAGGTGCCACACAGACACGCCATGGGAATTTCAAAATAAAGGCCTCTTCAACATGACTATATGTACTGATGTTGTTATTGCATTGACTGTCATTGAATCGTATCATATAATGATTAAAATCTAGATTTTCTTTTTAATGATTGATCGATTATCAATTATTTATTCACCTCAGACAGTAGACGGTGTCTCTTGTTTATATTCTTACCTGTTTCTATGTGTTTCAGACCGGACTACCCAGACACCAGCGGATTCACTTCCTCTTAATATTCCAACTGCCACAACACCTGACCGGCCGGTCCAACCCCCCCCCCCCCACACACACTCCCCTCCCGCTGCACAATCTGGTTTTCAGGGACCTGGACCCAGTGAACTCCCAGTTTTCAGATGATCTCCTCCAACCCATCCCACCTCCCTTGAGTCCTATCCACCTCTTTTTAGTTTTTCCATCCAGTGTCCCCATCTTATTTCCTGCCGAGGCCTCCAGTAGCGACACTATAGATCCTACAGTCCTTCCTCGCTCTTTCTCTGTCACTAAACTGTTCTAAGCTACAGAGGAAATAGTGTCATTTATCTCTGCAATTTAGGATTTGTATCTACTTTAAATATCCCAATGGTGTATATGTACAGTATGCCGTATATAGGGGAGTTGAATAATTGTATTGATATATACATAAATATAAATATATATGAACAGGGTTTTTAAAAGGATTTGTCTGTAAGTTTGTCTGAGGATGTTTAGTTTTTCCAGACCAAGCTGTGCTCATTGTTGAGTTCTGATCCTGTGATTTTCTTTCTTTATTGGATGGGGGAGGCGTTTTCATAACACCTCCATCTCTACATTTGTGTCATGCAGTGTTTCCTTTTGTTGTCCAAATCAATTTGCAAAGTCCACCAGCTGCAGCTGCAAAGTTGGGATTGTGCCGAGAGTGTTATGTAGCCTCTGCTTTACTCCTGACCTAATATCTCCTGTAATATGTTGAGGCATTCGTTGGCTTTTCTGCTGCTTTGTGAGTTTGTGGGTTTGTTGTTGTGTAGCGTTGTATGGTCTTCAAGGTTTTCCTGCCATGTTTTTTTATTTTTTTATCTCATTAGGTCATTCCTAGCTCTTTAGTTTCATCAGGCTGTGCAAACAGAAAATGCAGTAATTCTCCACACACACACACACACACACACACACACACACACACACACACACACAATACAGGGATAGGAGTCAAATGATTTACTCAGCAAAGTAAATTAGTCTTTTTCAACAGATTTCCAAACCTTGTAGTTTCTAAACTCGATATCATGGCTGTGTTTTTAACATTATGAAAAACAGCTCCTCCTGCTTGCTGTAGATAGATAAATTGTTTTCTGAAAGTTAAACTTGATGTGAGTTCATGCCCTGTCATCCATTCTGTCACCTCCAGTGGATAAATGGTCTTATCCAGCGATAGCAATAACTACCATGAAACGTTGGTTTCTCCTTTTATCACCGCAAATATAATCTTACTGGTTTTTCCCATCTTGAGAACAGTTTTAGTAAACTGAGCCGATGCTGAAAGGAAAGGATGGTTAAGTGATTGGTGAATAATTAAATAAATGCTGGATTTATTGTTTCTCTTTGGATGAGGCAGATTATTTTTTTTCTCCTGCTGGAATCTGAAGCCTGTTACATGTGATAGTGTGGTGTTTCAGTTTATGCATGAGTGTACATGAGTGATGTACAGTAGCGTGTCTTTATGAGATCTGATGCTGGCTGGGTGAAGAAGGGAGGATGTAACGGAGCTAGAGGAGTGATAATAGCAGGCACTAACCTTCCACCTGTTGTTGACGTCTGTTTGGCCTCCTCTTTGTCATCTGTTTTTGTTTTCATCTTTTACCATTGATCTTATAACAGTGTGGGCACTTTAAAGAGAAAGCAACAGATGATGTAAAATCCATAATACTGAATTATTTCAATTGCAATCAATACATTTAGATCGTTAAAGAGTAGATATTTTTGCTTTTCTAATTTTAATATCAACCGTTTTTTACATTTAGTTCTTGTTAAATTGTGTTAAATTGTATTATAACATATTCATATACATTAAAAAGTATTTTCTTTCCTGATTAAATGCATACCAATATGAGTATTTTATTTGAAGAGCTTCTTGTTGGCAATTATTCAAAGTCCCTTCCCCCGCAAGGCAATTTCGTGATTGTTGACATTGGGCTCTAATTATCAATACATTTGACATTATTTGACAATTATCAAAACAAAACTTTCCCAAAAATGCCTTTATTAGGCTAATCATTTGTTAGCCTAATAAATATCACTGTATTACTGGGCCGTTTCTCAATGTCGAGTAAACCTGCTGCAGAGCCACTATTTCGATGACGTAGTATACTTGAAATAGTGGCTCTGCCGCAGGTATACTCGACATTGAGAAACGACCCTGGTCTGTAACAACTCTACAGTCGTTCACATTCTCTACAGTTCAGAATGGAGAAAATCAAGAAGAAGAATTGATAATCAGCCTGATTTTTGTATCTGTATTAAGTTTTTAAACCTCTCCCTGCGTAGGATTGTCTGTTGCCTCCTCTTGAAAGAAAACACTGCTCCTCGTTGTCCTCCCCTTCCACCTCTCTGTGTCCATCGAGCATGTCACTCACTGCCTGTGATGGGGCTACCAACTGAACCATGGAGATTTGTGGATGTACTGTATGTATTGACTTTGTAAATAGTAAATAAAGTAATGTAGATGAACACATATATATATATATATAGATCAGACTGTCCTGCTAGACCTACAGCACACCCTCTCGACACTTGATCCTCTAAATACATCCAGTGAACAAGTTGCTCTCAGAGATATTTTTGCGATGAAATGTAGAAATATTGTTTCTAAACTTTAGTGCTGATAAGAAATTGTGGAATACTGTCAGCTGTAGAAATAAAGATTGAGATGATTGTACTGCAGATTTTATCACGCTCCAGCAAAGCAGAGACAGTGAAAAGCTGCTGTTTGGTTTGTAATTGGAGAAAAAAAAGTTTTAAAACCCTCACTATTCCTTCTCACGTTGTTCTTTCCTCACAGAGCGCACATCTCATTGGCAGGACAGTGTATAGCTATATATTTTTGTTCTGGGTGTTGTTGTACCTCTGTTGTCAGTCTCTGAACTGCTTCTCTCACTGAAAAGGAACATATAACGGCAGCTTGGGTCAGTTCATTGATCCACAAAATTAGCTGATGGTGTGAGAGCTTGTGCAATTTAGATTTTTCCCTCCTGCGGTTTGTGATGGAGATGGAGGGAAAGTCATTCTGCATTTTAAGATCACCAGATGCTTGAGGGTTGGAGTTATAGCTCAAAAGAGAACAAGACAATTAGTTGTGGTTGTTTGAAAACTGATAGTGACATAAGGTCAATTTTTAAGAGCCTACGAGACGTCATAGAAGCTTGTGAGAGAATATGGTTTAACAGAGACAATCTCAGAGATATCTGTCGTTAGATTCCTGGATTTATAATCAGAATATGAAACCAAATGATTCGACAATCCTGAACTGTTTTTAAATCTCTCTATCTCTTCTCTCTCTAACGCTCTCTTTCACTCCTGTTAACTTGTCTCCTGTTTTTCTTTCTTTTATTGTGAATTTGTGCCTTTTTGTCATCTTATCTTCCAATAACACTACTGTACATTGGAGACGTAAAGAAATGAATAAAAAGAAGCAAAGCAACTATACATACATTTTGATGTGTGTTTTATTATTTTATTTTTAACTAATGCAACACAAGAGCAATCATCTTCTCACCTATTGTGGCAACTAGAAAATTAATCATACAGGAGAACAGGGTCCTACATACAGTCACGTGAGATCTTAAAATCATCCATTTACCAGAGAGCTGTAATAGTGTTGCTCTTTGTTATTTTTTGGTACATAAATATATTTTAATGGGACTGTTAAACCAGGGTTACTACATTTTAAGGCAAGCTAGATTTAAGATTATTCGTAATGCCACTGCCAGGACCTGAAAGCTCAAACAATATCTGTCAATTTGTTCAGAATACACAATAAAGTGGACAATTTGAAAGAAATGTAATGGTAGGTTTGGGAGAAAGTATGTCGGTTCACATCTCTTGCATGTCCCAACAGGTGGCTGTAGATTTTTTAATTTTAGCTCATTAGATACTCCACAAATCTGGAAAAATAAATAACATTTAAATACAAGAGGCCTTTTAAACATTAAATGTTACTACACCACATGATCTGTTACTATTTTCACATAATGCTTTGGTTTTTGATGGATAAGTGCTACTGTAGAGACTCGCAAATAGAGTGTAGGCAGGGTAAAATTAATCATGTCTGGATGGCAAAGATTACTTTAAATCCTGATTATGAGGCAGAGGAGGGGCCAGGACAGAGAGCTGTTGATGAGACTCGACACAGTGTGTGGCTGTTGGAGAGGAAATCTCTGGAACTGCAAACCTTTATGACATTTAGCTCTTCAGTAAGAATTATTTTTGCTTTGAATGAATCAAAATGATCTATTTATATCTGACACGACAACAGTGAGTAAATCCTGGTTTTAAGTGGTGATTTTCCTCCAGCTCCTACCCCTTTTATTTTTTACGTTTGTCTATTTTATGAAGAGTAAGTAAACCATGTCATCCACCAGAATGATGTCCTTAGATTAGAATAGCCAATAGTGAAAAAGTGCAGCTTTACTTTAAAAGGAAAAATCACTCATTAGACAGAGGAACCTAGTTTTCACTTCTCATTCAGAAAAAAATACAGGAATACATCGGCATTTTGGGAAATAAGCTTATTCTTTTGTTGGATAAGCAGACTTTTACGAATTTCATGTTCACTTTAAATATTAGGTAAGAGCTCAGGGTAGCATAATGATTAGAAACAAGGCAGAACACAAGCCTGGCTCTCAAATGCTCACAAAATCCACCTAAAGAACATCAATTAGAAATCAAATTAAAGGAGATTAACAGGGATTGGTATGTGGATTTGTATACCATTGGACAGATCCCGCCTTGTCTCTCCTCGTTATGCTAAGCAAAGCAAATGGTTTCCTGATTTAAGCTTCCTACGTAACAATCAAATATAAGAGAGGTATCCATTTGTATGCTTTAGCAAGAAAGAATAATGGTGAACTATTCCTTTAAATGACGAAAACACACCATCAGTCTGGAATTACAACATACATTTTTTACAAGCGAGTTAATCCTTTTAACTAAACTAAAACCAGAACTGAGAAATCACATGCTTTCAACTACCATGTGACACTTCATTAGAACTTAGCATGGCAGCACATCTCAGACAGCTTCTGCTTATTATTTCTAAATAAAGAGTCATTGCCCTTTAATGAGAAATTACTTGTTTCACTAAACTGTGATTGGAATATCGTTTAGTAAAGAAAATCACCCTACGCATTCCATAATGTTAAGAAAGTCAAGGATTATTTGTGAACGTACAAAGAGGGCTTTAGTGCAACAAATACCACGCGTCATGGTGAAATTCAATAAACAGAAATGTCCATTGATGAAGAAGATAATGCTCTCTCACCGGGCTGTTAACCAACCTGGGTTAATACCTTGAGCCCATGTTACGCTTTAAGTCCAGAGCAGGTTGTGAGTTGGAGCTTGAAGAGGAACAGCTGAGAACAAATTGCAGGAACCAAAAAGAGAACAAACATTGAAACAACGGGTCTCACCACAGGAAAGCAGGTCCAGGCTCCGGACTCCCCTTCCAAGACCTTCGTCGTCTGTTCGCAAGGGGTCTGCGGCTTTTTTGAGACACCACAAGAAAGACCCACGGAGAAAGGTACTGTGCAGAATGGAAGATAATGTTTTTATTTTCAGCAGATCCTTGAAGCAGAAGACTCAGTTAAGGATATTGAAGAAAAGCAAATAAGATAAGATAAGATAAGATGGTTCTTTATTGATCCCAATTTGGGAAATAGTTTTTGTTGCAGCAGCATAAAAGACAATAAAACAAAACTAGAAATAAACAAGAATAGAAAGAAAAGAAAATAGAGAATATACATGTAGAATTTGACAAGATATTATATTAACAAATATATATATATACATAAATATATGACATGGAATATTAATATTAAATATTGAACAGATTATATAAATGTAAAGTGTACAACGTGGTTTTATCACAAGAGAAACTATGGAGCAGAGAGTTTGGGTTTACTTGTGTGTAAAGGAACCTTCTCAAAGGTCAGCAGGTAGAATTTCCAACCTGTATGGGTTGATCAGGGTAACAATGACTGGATCCTTGTATTGTTTTTTTAAATCTTAAAGCACTAGTCTTTGGAAACATGTCCCCAGGGTCATCATCTAACACAATTTGTATGGGTTAAATTTGCAGTTCAAAACACATCAAGAAAAAAGGTTGTGCCATATAACATCAGCTCATGCGCTGTATGCTCTTAATGTTTTTATCATTTTTTGTAAAGCCCTTTGAATTGCCTTGTGTTGAAAGGTGCTACATAGATACACTTGCCTTGCCTTGCTTCGCCCTGCCTTGCCAAGGTGGACGATCGAAACATATTGATGCAGGGAAACAGATCGGACGTTTGGCGCTTGGCCATTGTTCTGCTAGCTCTTTGGTTGTTTTGGCCGTTCTATAATGCTGGATGAAGCTGTTTAGCAAAGAGGGGAGGATCAGTGAAACATGTTTGTGTTCTTCGCCCTGCACTTATCCTTTGAAGTTTTTAAGCTAAATAATTATTAAAACTTTTTTTAAAAACATTTCCATTAAGTGTTCTCTTTTCACTTCTCTAATAGACTTACAAGTTATCTGAAAATACCAACTTCACACTTCCTGCCTGCCTATAGCCTAGCACAAAACGAAATACAAACGGAGTTAGCAACTAGCTAGCCTGCAAACAAAGCGTAACATTTAGAAGCTAAAGAACCAGACATTTATTTCGGGGACCAAAACTGAATTACATTTGTTGGGTGACTAAAAACAACAAAACAAAATACTATTAGCTCTGTGCCTGCTTCATGTGCATTTAGCTCACCAAATCCCATGTTAGTATGTTTCTGTAGTATTTGTTATTAGCTCACTATCAATAGGACATTTAGAGACTAAATGATCCCTGAAAATATAACCACAACAGCACATACAAATATCTTTTTTTTAAAACATCACGATCCTTTGATGAACATTTACAAAATGGCTCCCAGGGAAAGTGTTTCTGTTTTTTTTACATGTGACCTTCAGGGCATTTCCCCTTTAACTGGATGAAGCTAACCGTGATTTGACATGATTACAAAGCCATTAAAAAAATGACTTTCGGGCTTCCGTGTCAGGTCGCTTTTATAGGGAAATGCTCTGTCTTCCCGGTAAACTGGTTCTTATAGAGGCGAGTATTTTATCTTAACTTGTGTGTTTGGTCTTTATTCTCACTTTGTTTATATGTGTTTCTACAGGGGAGACAATGAGCACTGGAAGATTTCAAAGCGGTGGCAGAGACAAGTGCAGGTAAGATAAGAATCCCATACAAACCTATACTTCTTTTCATCTAATGGTCTAGAAATAAAGAGTAGGAACAAACAAGAAGAAGAAATAAGAGTTACTATAAGAGAAAGGAACGACTTAAGGCAGAAAAGGGTGTAAATAGAGACCAAGAGAGTCCATAAAAGTCCTGAACAGTATCTGAATTGCCTAAAGTAGCTTTAAGGCTGCAGGTTCTGAGGCTTTGCAGAGCTCTGTGATACAATCTGAAATACCCACCCATTCATCATTTCTCAGTGGACCAGTGAACCCCCGGAGGTTATCCACTTAACACTTTTTCTTGCTAAAGAATGTGCCCTAAGTCTCTGCATGTGACACTGTTACATGAATCTGTAGGGGGAATTAGGGCACTGAAGATTAGCATTTCTTATTTTGTAAGGGGCAATCTCTTCTCGTTGTTTGTTTCTCTATTGTCCTCACCGCATTACAAAAAACATGAGAACACTGTTGCAATTCTGCCATGAACTCTGTGAACCATACAACCGTGTTTGTCAGTTAGATGGAGGACTATCCACGATTGGATCCAAAGATGTAATCCTTAAAATAATAAATGACCATTGCTTTTTGAAAAACTCAACCGACAAGAATCAACGCGATATCTGCATAAAATGAAGTAGTAAAATGATTACCATGGTTTTCTATAAATCCTTACAGCTAGACATAACAAAGTTATAGGTATGGATATCTAAATGATTGAGGCCTGTGTTTAAAACTGTAAACAGTATGCATCTTAGAAAACTGATTTTAAAATCCATTTCCCAATAGATCAACTTGCTACTTAAATCGGGAACTAAACTTGGCATCTTACTAATAATTTCACCCGATTAATGGTTTTGAATTCTTTAAACCTTAGAATCACACAAAATACTGCAGATTGCTTCATTAATTGCCTGTTTTGAAATAAATATGCAATTTGTCTACTGTTACAAGTGCTGTAATACTTGTTTATTAGAATGATATGAGCTTTGTATTCTATTCAGGAAAACATCTATAAATAACTGTGTTGGAGCTTATAAAACCGCATTTAGCTCCCCTACCTCTGGGTTCACAAAAATAACCCTTCACCTATATGGGGAGAGATTGGATTGAGGCCAAAAGAAGCTAATGCTATTGTGCACTGTTGTCCCCTCGCTAATGCGTGATTGGGGGATACATTCATTGTTCAGTGTGCTCAGCTGATAGAGAGACCGCTGTA